GTGCCTTTATGCTTTCTTGTAATTTTTTAGACAAAGGAAAAATCTTTTTGGTGCAATTATTTCTGGCAATTGAAACACTCCAAGATCTCTTCTTGTGTTGTCTTCTTTTTTCTGATTTTTCATCCTGATTTCCTGAATTAGTCTGTTCAGTCAATGTGTGTGACTGGATTAAGTGCTGCCTTTTCAAGGCTGGTTGAAACTCCAAAAGATCTACTGTGCAATCATAACTCTGTGTTCTTGCACCATGTTCTGAAACGGTCAAGTCCTGTTTCATATCTTCAACTGCTTCCCCAGAAATAATAGGTGGTAATCCTTTGGGTTTGAGTGGAAGTTTGGATCCATCATGAGGAAACCAAGGAATGAATCTTGATAATGGATGAACAGGAAAGTCTTGAATTGCCTTTTCTGCAATCTTTGGCAGTTGTGTGCAATCATACTCATATGGTCGATAATGCAATATTACTTGTGTAGTCATTTTGCAGTAATTCAATAACTCTTAATGAAGAGAAAATTTCTTAGCTGAACTCCTCAGAGCTAGAATGCAATTTATTATTACAAGACTGTATCGCTTGTCAAATCAGAGGCAACAGGACCTAAAGTAGAAGTATTGCAAAAAATAAGATATAGTACAGAAAACCTGTATACAAACAGGTAGGGAGAAAAACACAACAAAAACAAACAAAAAAGTCCCTATATATAATTTTAATCAAATACCATCAGCAAATGTGAATATAATGGACAACCGTGAAAATCCTTTCTCAACGGAATAGGAGATGTTTATTAAGATCACTTCCAGCTCAAAATCTTAGTTGTTAACATGTCTAACTCAATAGAAATAAAACACTTCAAAGTATTAATACATTAAGCTATCTTAGTCTTAAAAATTTAGCAGAGGCTGGGCACTGGTGGCTCACACCTGTAATCCTAGCTACTACTCAGAAGATTGAGATATGAGGCTCACCATTCCAAGCCATCTGGGGCAGGAAAGACCTTGAGACTCTTACCTCCAATTAACCACAGAAAACTGGAAGTGGTGCTGTGGCTTAAAGTGGTAGAGCACTGACCTTGAGAGAAAAATCTCAGAGATTGTGCCCAGGCCCTGAGTTCAAGCCCCATGACTGAGAAAACAAACCAACCAACAAACAAAAGAAAACCTGTAACAGAAACAGAGTACTCTAGTGATTCTTAAAATACTGGAGTTATATAATATAGTACTTAAAAATCTGAGATATCTGAAGTGAATATAATGAAATCAGTATAATTTTTAATCTATATGGGAGAAAAGGAGTTGCCTTTATTTTTATGAATTCTACCAAATATAGATATTTAGGTATGATACATCATTCTCAGATGTAAATACCAAAAAATGCATATGGCTGGTTATAAGTCAAAATCTTCTCTGTATATCCTGGGCACTTTCACTGTATTAAGACCTCAGTACCATGGCTCCTAAATTTCACTTGGAGGAAGAATAAGAACTACACTTTTTTTTTTCACCCACAGATGTTCTCAGTTGTCTTCAACTGAAGCCACTGATAATAAGTTTCAGCACACCTCTGCTCCAGGATGTGATTTTTAAGTTGGGCTTCTTAACTAAGTTGTAAGACTCATAATGCAGGCCTTTTCATATCCTAATCTACTATAGAAAAAAAAAGTAAGAGATGAATCCCTTCCTACCCCAAATTATTAGAGAACTAATTAATGAGGGTTCTCCCAGCTGGAGGGTTATCAATGATAGATACACTCTATCATTATGTCTTAAGAGATCCCAAGTCTGATTCTGAAGAGTTAAGAAGTAACTACTCACATAATCCTGTCTACTGATAGGTTTGGTAACTCTCAAATTTGTAAATGAATGCTTAACATCCATAATTTTAATAGGTGGTAGCATATTTTTAAATATGTGGTAACATATTTTCCCAAGAATAATATTTCTCTTATTTTCCCAAGAATAACTTTTTCTCTTTCCTTTCCTTAAATTGTGTAGGACATTGAAAATTCTTTCATTGTTATCTAAATTTATTCATTATTGTACTCAGGGTCAACTGAAGTTGTGAGAGCTTCATTTAAATAATGTTCTTTTTATTGAAGAGCAACAAGATACGATCTTAGCAGTTTACATTTTAATATAAGAAAAGCAAACAAGTGACCATTTAAATTGATATATTTTTTGGCACCAATAAAATTAGAACTTGTGAAAACTCTGAATTAACTAAAACATCAGGGGAAGAACAGTACCAAAGTTGAAAAACTATCATATAATGCACTTGTCCTTTTAGTCCTTAAATATTCTTTACTAGGTATCTTGTGGGGTTTTTGTTTTGCCAGTCCTGGGGTTTGAACTCAGGGTCTGGGCACTGTCCTTAAGCTTCTTTTGCTCAAGGCTAGCACTCTACCACTTCAGCCACAGCACCACTTCCAGCTTTTTCTTTTTTTGTCATCGGTTGTGGGGCCTGAACTCTGGGACTGGGTGTTGTCCCTCAGCTCTTCAGCTCAAGGCTAGTACTCTACCACTTGAGCCAAGTACCACTTCCGGCTTTTTCTGCTTATGTGGTGCTGAGGAATCAAACCCAGGGCCTCATGCATGCAAGGCAAGCACTCTACCACAGAGCCACCTTCCCAGCCCCACTTGCAGCTTTTTCTGTCTATGTAGTACTGAAGAACCAAACCTAGGGCTTCATGCATGCTAAGCAAGTACTCTACCACTAAGCCACATTCCTAGACTGATATCTTGTATTTTTCTGTTTTTGCTTTTTGTGAGGTTTGTTGTTTTTGTCGGTCATGGGGCTTGAACTCTGGGCCTGGGCGCTGTCACTCAGCAATTCAGCTCAAGGCTAGTGTTCTACCACTTGAGCCACAGAGCCACTTCCGGTTTTCTAGTTGTTTACTGGAAGTACGAGTCTCATGGACTTTCCTGCAGGGCTGGCTTTAAACCATGATCTTCAGATTTCAACTTCCTGAATAGTTAGGATTACAAGCGTGAGGTACAAGTGCCCGGCTATCTTGCGTTTTTGAAACAGAAAAATAAACATCAGAAACAACAGAAAACTAAAAATTTCCAATGGCAATTAGACTTCATATACCTAGAATTTGTGTCTAATAGTATCATAGTGTTCAATTTGTATAAAGTCACATCTAGCAACTAATATAACTGCTCCAAATTCAGAGAAGTCAGTAAGGTAATGAATAATCTGAAAATGCTATTTCACTCATTAGGAGACAGACAATACAACATCATAAAATGGTGTTCAAATGTTACTAGGAATGTGATCTTGGAAAAGTTGCTTTCAACCTCCTTTATACATACTTGATGTGAGACTAAGGTAGTGAATATAAAGTAGCTTTCTTTTATCTATAGTCTACTTTAGTCTACATCATCTGTTCAGGCTAAACATACAGGTTCCGTTGCTATATCAATATTGCAAAGTTTTTACATTCTACATTGTCCACTCCAGCTATCAGTGTATGACTCAATATGGATGCCATCAGAAAGTTAAGTGCAATTCAAATGAATTCAAGTATCTACCTAGCATTTCTCCACCACAATACAAGAAGGTATTGATGAATGGAGCGTCCAACTGCAATACTAACTTTGCAGATAAAAGTCTGGGGACTCTGTTAGTGCCACACAGAGATAGAAAACTTCCCATTAAATGTCCGCTGTAATTTAATCTGGTTCAGAAATCTATCTCTCCAATAGGGTCAGAGCAGCAGTTTCCGAGAGTAACACCTAGTGATTACAGACAGCAGTGTGGACCACAACCGTGGATTATTATCAGGTTTATATTTCATTCTAGAAAACAGCTTTTTCGTGTGTGTGTGTGTGTATGTATGTAAGAGAGAGGGAGGGTGGAGGGAGAGAGGGCGAAAGAGAGGACGCGTCGGTCCTGGGACTCGAACTCAGGACCCGAAGGTTGTCCCTGGGCTTTTTTTTGGTCAAGGTTAAGCAGTTTAGCACGGGAGCCACAGCTCCACTTCTGGCTTTTAGGTGGTTAACCGTAGATAGAGTCTGGTGGTATTTTCTACCTAGACTGACTCCCAATTGTAAGCCTGAGATCATAGATTCCTGAGTAGCCAGGGTTGCAGGCGTGAGCCACGGGGGTCCGGCTGGAAGGCAGCTCCTAAGCCTAAAACCGAAACGGGGTGAAACTCCTCGTGTTGGTGGCCGAGGCGAGCACTGGCAGGACTTCTGGACGAGGCCTACGCCCCAGAGGCCGAGTCCACGCAAGAGAGTCTCAGAAGGAAAGAAAACAGTAAGGAGACCCACGACCACCCAAGTGTACCTTTCAGCGCCAGCAGGTGCTCCTGTTTGGGGGGATTCACTTCCATGTTGACCGGCACTTTGCCCGGCGGCCTACGGGGGCTGACGAGGTCCACCGTGGCCCGGAAGAAAACGGAAAGGCGCACTCGCGGGAAGGCGGCTTCCAGCGCCCACGCAGCGGCTTCGTTGGGCTGGTAGTCCCTAAAATACTTAAATTTTGCTATGTCCTTTAAAGCTCCAACGGCTTCTTTCTCCCAAGGTCATTCCTAAAGCCTCAAAGACACTAAGCATTAAGAAAAGCTAGTTTCCAGCTAAAAAAGGAATCACACCAAAAGACTTCACGAACCCAACGCCGCGTCTGACGCTAGCGAAAGCCTACGAAGCGGAGGGGCGGGGTAGAGAAACCGACTGTGGCATGCTGGGAGTTGTAGTTTCTATATATGTGCATACCACTGCATGCAGGGGGATGTAGTCCACTCCGGTCTCCTCCCGGCTGGTTTGCAGTTTGGAGAAGAAATCTTGCCGAAGCAGTGGTCACACCTAAAATTTTACTTCTACTCTTTGTTTAACCTTTTTTTTTTTTTAATTTTCCATCCATGACTCGCACTTTCTGAAAAATAAAAGTGCGCATGCGCACTTTGGCTGTGCCGCCAAACGGCTTGCGACTGACGAGGGGGAGTGAAGGGAGTAGGGAGCTGCCCTCTCAACTGTAGTGCGCCTGTTCACCAGCAGCGCGCGCGCGGGTGCCTCTGGGTAGCCGGTGGCTGAACCCCGCCTCACAGTTGAAGGCTCTGACGGCTGCATCTTCGGCGCCGCTCCTTCCAGGATGGCTACCCTGGTTGTAAACAAGCTAGCAGCCGGACTAGACAGTGGCCGGCAGGGCAGCCGGGGTATGACTGTGGTGAAGGTGAGCGACCTTGCGTGCTCTGTTCTCCACCATCGGCCTCCCTTTGGTCCATCCTGGAAATCTGGCTGCGTCGTTGAGGCCCGGTCTTGGATGGGCGGGATGCGCGACCTCGGGCCGGCCCCCCCAAAGGCCTTACTGGTCTCCCCCTCCTTACTCCTCTGTTACCCTTACCCTCCGGGCCCGCCAGGTCTGTTTATACAGATTAAGAGACGTGTTTGTAGGAAAGGACTTTGTGGGCCTGTGAGAGAGATCGGTGTTGCTCTGTCTCCAGGTTCTTTGCATTTAGCAAAGTCAACAGGCATGAATTAGCTTATTAAAAAAAAGAATTAGGCTGAGCCATTGCCATCGCTCATATCTACTTTTGTGGTAGATGTTAATTCATGTTTTACAATAGGGAAGGAAACCCAGGTTTACATAAACGCAGTATGTGGCAAAAGTTCTGAGTTTCTGGCCCTAAAGTCTGCTTTTCATGACTGTACTTTGTAATCATACATCTGTTAGTTGTTGAGATGTCTGGCCCCTCTGCTTTTAGTATTCTTTGAATTTTGAGACGTCTCCTACTGCAGCGTAACCTGCCATTAACACTGATGTATGAATTGCCCTATGCTTTCTTCAGTGTATAAATAAATGATTAAAGATGCATTTACTCATAGTTAGCATACGTGAAACTATTCTCGTACATTGAAATATGGAAAGATATGGAGAGAATAACTGTGTACCCTCCAGGATCTTATGTAAAGACATTGGTAACTCTCTTTTGTGACCATATGTCAACATATAGTCCTGTAATTCTGATTATAATACTGATATTAATATAATTTTAAAAAATTTCCACAAGTAGTTTTAGTGTACAATCACAATTGACTTCAGAAATATCTCTGAAGTCCTTTTAATGTCTTGAATTGGCACCTGTAATTTCCTGTTGAGGTTTGGTTTTATTTGGCAACAAATAAAATATTTATGTCCATCACTTATTATTAGTCAGTATTAGTGGATGATGATGCACAGCATAACTCATTATTGGGCATATTGTATAGTTGAGAGTTCCTTTTTTGAATTGTGCTTTTGCTAGGTAGAAGATAATGAAGATTATTTTGTGTGTAATTTGTAAGTTTTAGTCCACAATTGGAGTGGGTGTCATAGCTACTTCCATTTCTGTTAATCTCAAAAGTGTAACTTAGGTGTAATCCCACTTTGTTAGACCACTGCATTTGATATGTAAGAGGCATACTTCCTTTTCATTTTCATCTTAGCTTGTAAAATGTGCCTAACTGCAATATGAGAAACCTTTTTGAGAAAGCAAGAGGTAGTCATTGAAAGGAAAAGGTCAAAGTAAATAATGTTAATAATATGTAAAACAGCCTCTTGTTAAACAAACAAGTTGGTGATGACAGTCACTAGGGAAAACAAAAATCTCATATTGTGAAGTAAGTTTAGAAATATATTACAGAATTTTCAAAATGAGCCTTTTTTAGTATTTATGGCTATAGTCTTTTAATTTATGGTTTATTAAATTTGATTTATATATAAGTTTGAAGATTCATTTGTAATATCTGCAATGTAATTTTAAAAGTGTGTTTTTAAAATCTAGCACCAGGCACTGGTGGATCATACCTGTAATCCTAGCTACTCAGGAGGCAGAGAGATGAGGATTGTAGTTGGAAAGCAGCTCAAGCAAGAAAAGTCCCCTTGAGACTCTGCAATTAACCACTCACAAAGCAGAAGTCCAGCTGTGGCAAAAAGTAGTAGAGCACTGGCCTTGAGAAAAGATCTCGGGGATAGCACCCAGGTCCTGAGTTCAAGCCTCAGAGCCAACAAGGAAAAAAATATATATCAGTGCTTAATTTATTATTCTATTAGCTGCAAGTCCCATTCATAGATATTGAGGAAAAAAATTTCTTGCTGTATTATTTGCTAAGTAGTACTTGTAGTCTTCTTGGACCTTTGTTTCACTGATCATACATCTATTAGGTTGTTGAGATGCCTGCCCCCTCCTCTTTTAGTATTCTCTGAATTTTGAGATGTAACTGGTCATTAACATTGATGTATGAATTGCCCTATGCCTGATGTTGAGCTTTCTTCAATGTATAAAATGATTAAAAATGCATTTACTCATAGTTAACATAAGTGAAACTATGTTCTAGTGCTTTTCAAAAAAGGTGTTGGAAGTATTTGAATATTACAGTGGACACATCCTGAGAATAGGCCCAAAGGATAATATAGTCACTTTAGTTGGACTGAGCTATAGATAGAAAAGTTACTCAGGAATTGTTAGTTTACTAATGTGATAGAAATAGCATTTAATAAGAAAAATATTTGTTTAGCCATTTTTTAGTATAAAGAAAGTTAAGTATTTTATCACATGAAATCTATATGATAAACTCAGAACCGAGAGTTCTAAAGTACATGGTAGTGAAGCAGTATGGATCATATTGTAGCAGAAAGGCAGACACAGGAGTTTATACTATTGTGGGTGTTTCAAACTTAATATTGGAAGACATGAGTTAGGCATGGAAGCATGAAGATGTTTTACTGCTAGAAATATGGTTTAGTCACTAAAACAATCACATGATCCTGAGAATCAGAATATATTATTCTTAGACCTGTCTTTTGTATGGCTTTTGGGAAATCATATACATGTAATTGAAACTAAGTAGATAGAATAGTTTTCTGACCCAGGGTTGTATTTATTAATGAAGAACAGAAATCTAAGTCTTAGCTGAATGTATTTTGAACTTTACATTATTTGCTGTAAGTTGACAATAGAAAATATTTGAACATTATTTGTGGTGTTTTTTTTTTTTTTTGGCTAGTTGTGGAGTCTGAACTCTGGGCCTGGGTGCTGTCCCTCAGCTCTTCAGCTCAAGGCTAGTGCTCTATTTGAGCTACAGCACCACTTCGAGCTTTTTCTGCTCAGCGCCTCATGCATGCAAGGCAGGCACTCTACCACTGAGACACCTTCCCAGCCCCTTGTGGTCTTTTCTTACAAGTTCTTTATCATTTGGAAATATAACTATCATCCCAGTTCATTATATTGTTTTTGTTGAAATTAATGATGACTTATTGCCATAAAATAGTTGCACAGAAATTCCTTTTAGTAGCATTCATTATATGTTGTTATTACAGATAGAGTTTTCAGAAGGAACAGTAATGTTAGTTGATAATTTTATCTTGGTCTTTAAAACTTACTATTTTAAGGACACTTCACTATCACCCAATTTTGATAAGGTCTATCAGATGGAATGACTAATTTCTAAATTTTTAGAAGTGATTTAAAGTACTTTAAAGTGACCATTTTTTTTCATGACAGAGCAAAGAACAATGTTGAATTGTTATATTGGTTCAGTGTTTTTAAACTTGAAATATGTGTGCCTTTAAAGTTGTTTCCATTTCATATTCTAGGTTCTGGAGTGTGGAGTTTGTGAAGATGTCTTTTCTTTGCAAGGAGACAAAGTTCCTCGCCTTTTGCTTTGTGGACACACAGTCTGTCATGACTGTCTCACTCGACTACCCCTTCATGGAAGAGCAATACGGTGCCCATTTGATCGACAAGTAACAGATCTAGGTAAGAAAATTATTCACTTGGATTTAAGGCTGAAAATTAGGAGGACACTTATGACTTCTACCTATAATCCTAGCTACTCAGGAGGCTGATTGGGGGCCAACCCCAGGCATGAAAGTCAGTGAGACTCGTACCTCCAATTAACCACTCAAAAACCGGAAGTGGAGCTGTGGCTCAAAGTGGTAGAATGCTAGCCTTGAGCATAAAAGCTTAGGGACAATGCCCTCAAGCCCAGCAACCAACAACAACAGAAAAGACTGAAAATTATATAAGACAAATGTCACAGAAATAATGTCTTTACACTTGAGTTTTATTTGATAGTTTTTGTTGGTCGTGGAGCTTGAACTGTGGGCCTGGGCGCTATCCTTGAGCTTTTTAGCTTAAGGCAAATTCTCTACCACTTGAGCCATAGCTCCACTTCCTGTTTTCTGGTGGTTAATTGGTGGTAAGAGTCTCAAGGACTTCCTGCCCTGGCTGGCTTTGAACCACGATCCTCAGATCTCAGCCTCCTGAGTAGCTAGGATTACAAGCACGGGCCATGGGTGCCCAACAGCACTTGATGTTTTAGATTGCAAAATTCCACAATATCTTTCAAAATGTTTGAGTCTCTGTTGGGTAAACTAGCACTCAAATTACTAATTTTCTTTCATCAAACATTGAGATGAGTTTATATTCAATATGTATCTGTGAAGAACTTTACAACACCTGGGAAATATATGCTTTCCTTATTCAAACAAATGAGAAAAGTATTTATCATAGATTAGATATTTGTTTGAAGCTACTAATCCAGTAAAACAAAGTTTTCTTACAAAAGAATGAATCAATGATGAAAATACAGATAAAGCCATTGGAGTCTCATTAAATTTTTATTTACTAGTATCAGAGAAGAAATATGTTTGTATTTGTTATGATTGTTCGGTGTGTGTGTGTGTGTGTATGATTGTTCCTTCTGGGGGGGTGTGTGTGTGTGTGTGTGTGTGTGTGTGTGTGTGTGTGCGCTCGCATGCGAGCGCCAGCCTTGGTGCTTGAACTCAGGGCCTGAGTTAGGGGATATGAGTATTTGTGCACTAAGCTAATACTCTATAACTTCAGCACCAGAAACTGGCTCTTTTGCTGATTAATTGAAGATGAGAGTCTCATAGCCAGTCTAGGTTGAGATCCTCAGATCCCATCCTCCCGAGTAGTTAGGATTACAGGCATGAGCCATTGATGCTTGTTTTTTGTTTTTGTTTTTGTCTTTTTTGTTGTTGTTTTCTTTTTGTTTTTTTTTTATTTTTTGTGGGTCTCAGGGCTTGAACTCTGGGCCTGGGTGCTATCCCTGCACTCTTCAGCTCAAGGTGAGCACTCTACTGCTTGAGCCACAGCACCACTTCTGGTTTTCTAGTGGTTTATTGAAGATAAGAGTCTCATAGACTTTCCTTCCCCGGGCTGGCTTTGAATCCTGATCCTCAGATCTCAGCCTCCTGAGTAGCTAGGATTACAGGTGTGAGCCACTGGCTCCCAGCTTATTTTATTTATTTATTTTTCTGCTTATGTGGTGCTGAGGAATCAAACCCAGGGCCTCATGCATGCAAGGCAAGCACTCTACCACTGAGCCACCTTCCCAGCCCCAACCCAGCTTATTTTAATATTATATATCAAGTAGAACACGTTTAAAGTAATTTATTGACCTACAAAAAGATACAAGAGTTTTAATATGTTTTGTTTTTGTTTTTACTGGATAAAACATTTTTAATTGGTGTTATAAAGGTGATGTACAGAGGGGTTAAAGTTAAAGTCAGAATGAGTACATTTCTTTTCGGACAATGTCATCTCTTGCCTCTCCCCCAGTTTTTCCCTCTCATCCTCATGCAAAAGTTCATTTTCAACATAGAGTCTAGTGAATCCTACTACTGCATTTGTTCATCCCAGGAGGAAGTTTTTAAGACGCTGTTTATGATGAGTCAGGAGTTTTCTTCTTGCACAGTGAGGTGCTCAAGGTGGTTGGAGGCTCTGTGATAGGTATCCCTCCCCATGGGACATGGGGAGCAGTGGCTTTCTTGTCTTACTAAATTGCTGAAGTTCTGCATAAACAAAACAAATAAATTTTTGTTATTTTTAAGACATCAAAATTTTAAAGTTGTTTTGACCATTATGGAATTCTTAAGTGATATACAAGCCAGTATATAGGTACTACTTACTGGGGCTTATGGGTATGTGCTAATTATGTGATGACAGAATAATTGGAGAATTATCAATTGAAAGCTTTGTGTATTTCTGCATTTTTATATAAATAGAGTAGGTAGAACTCAGCTTGTCATAGCATACATAGGAAAACTTTGTAGGGAGGCAACAAGGCTAAGAAAGAAATAGTTGAGTGGTAGTGTAATGGTATTTGGGAAAGGATATCACAGAAATCAGAGAAGATAAACATACTTAGCCTTGGTTTAAAAAAAAAAAGAAGGGCTGGGAAGGTGGCTCAGTGGTAGAGCGCTTGCCTTGCATGCTCAAGGCCCTGGGTTCGATTCCTCAGCACCACATAAGCAAAAAGAAAAAAGCCGGAAGTGGTGCTGTGGCTCAAGTGGTAGAGTGCTAGCCTTGAGCTGAAGAGCTGAGGGACAGTGCCCTGGCCCAGAGTTCAGGTCCCACGACTGGACCCAAAAAAAAAAGAAGAGTCAAGAAGGAAAAAAGCCCATTACCCTTTTACATATTTATTGTCAACAACCATTCAGTAGCAGAAATATAAAGTATTTTGTTATATTAGCTTGCCATGGAGAGTTAGCCCTAACTGCTAACTGGCTTTTATTTAAAGGTTTAGGAATGCTCTGTGTGTGTGTGTGCGCATGCTCACGCGTGCATGTGTGTGTATGAGAGAGACAGACAGAGACCGAGAGAGAGACAAGAGACAGAGAGCATGCACATATGCTTGTCTGCTAGTTTTGGGTAAAAGAAACACTGGTTCTTTTAAATGTGCTATCTAAAAGTGATTGATGCCAGGTACTAGTGGCTCATGTCTGTAATCCTAGCTACTCAGGAAGCTGAGAGCTGAGGATTATGGTTCAATGCTAGCTCAGGCAGGAAAGTCTGTGAGACTCTTATCTCCAGTCAACCACCAGAAAACCGAAAGTAATAGTGTGGCTCAAATTGGTAGAATGCTAGCTAGCCCTGAGCAAAAATAGCTTAGTGACAGCATTTAGGCCCCCTGAGTTCAAGCCTCATGACCCACAAAATGAAAAAAAAAAATACTACACAAATGAATAAATAAAATTGGTATAAAGCTCTGGATCTTTTTTTTTTTTTTTTTGGGTTGGGTCGTGGGGCCTGAACTCTGGGCCTGGGCGCTATCCCTCAGCTCTTCAGCTCAAGGCTAGTGCTCTATCATTTGAGCCACAGCGCCACTTCCGGCTTTTTTCTTTTTGCTTATGTGGTGCTGAGAAATCGAACCCAGGGCCTCAGGCATGAAAGGCAAGTACTCTACCACTGAGCCACCTTCCCAGCCCATAAGGGTTTTAGTTTCTTTGTTTTGTTTTTGTTTTTTTGGGGTCTGGTCCTGGGTCTGAACTCTGAGCCTGGAGGCTGTCCCTCAGCTTTTCAGCTCAAGGTGAGTGCTCTACCACTTGAGCCATAGCGCCACTTCCGGCTTTTTGTTTTCTGCTTATGTGGTACTGAGGAATCGAACCCAGAGCCTCATGTATGCAAGGCAAGCGCTCTACCACTGAGCCATCTTCCTAGCCCAGCTCTGGATCTTTCTATGAGAAGGAACTTATATAGGAATTTAAAGATGAATCTTTAGCTTTTGTAGTTCCAGTTTGCTTAGAGATGGATATTTTAAGGCAGGTATATCATTCATATAATGACTTACAAACATGAATCTTCTATCTTATTTGTGATCATAAAGTGAATTTAGTTGGATATAAAAAACTTTTTTTTTTTTTGAGCCAGGCGCCGGTGGCTCAGGCTGAGCTACTCAGAGGCTGAGATCTGAGGATCACGATTCAAAGCCAGCCCAGGCAGGAAAATCCGTGAGACTCTTATCTCCAATAAACCACTAGAAAACCAGACGTGGTGCTGTGGCTCAAGCGGTAGGGCACTCGCCTTAAGCTGAAGAGCACAGGGAAAGTGCCCATGCCCAGAGTTCAAGCCCCATGACCGATAGGGGAAAACAAACAACAGGCTTTGCGCATGCTAAGTATGCACTCTACCACTAAACTTGATTCCTATCCACTATAGCATTTGAAAAAAGAAATAGAACAAAAAGTGCTCTCTGTAAATGTATTACTTTGTGATACTTTTTAAAAAATCATTTGTGAAATACTTGTTTTAGAAGATATACTTAAAAGTAATCAAATGTGTAAAATTCAATGGTACAAAAATAGAATTTTAAAGTATATTTCTATTTAGAACACTTGTAGATTCTTGCTTTCTAAGAAAATATGAACAAAATGTTTTAGCATTAAAAAGTAAAATAGAACTTTCAAATTCAATGGTTTAGCCATTATTTATGATTAATCTATATGACTTAGAAATTAGTTTTGAGATATGGAGTAAAATAGTTAATATTCCACTTTGTTATAGTTAGTATTTGTTTTTATGTTTATTCTAGGAGATTCAGGTGTCTGGGGATTGAAAAAAAATTTTGCTTTACTGGAGCTTTTAGAACGACTGCAAAATGGTCATATTGGTCAGTATGGAGCTGCAGAAGAAGCCATTGGGATATCTGGAGAGGTATTGATCAAACTTGGTGACATGGTTATTACAAGATGAACTTTTCTTTCACTTTAAAACATTTGTCAGCACAATATTACTGTATTTACTTTAGCAGCTCCATTTTAGAAACACAGCTCTTCATTAAATTATAGTTCTGATTATAAAACTAGTTAATAGAACAAAAATAAAACTGATATATAATTCTTTGAACATACCATGTCTAACTTATGTTTTATGTGTAAACTCTTTTTCTTATCATTGATCGTTAATTCTATGTTGACATTTTAAATTATTTGTCAAATTTAGGAAACAGAAGATAGGATTGTTTCATGGAACAAACACACATTTCTTGTAATTGAGAAGTAAAATTGTTTCAATCTTTGGGTCTGTTTTTTACTTAAATAATGAATGATAACACTGATGTATTTTCTAATTTCTAGTTTTGAAAAATTAATTACTAAATCTCTCCTTCCAATTATAGCCTTTTAATATTCCATAAGGTCTCAAAACTTTCTTGATTATCTGATGTTATATTTTACCCACTTGAATACATCCTCAAGCCTTGACTTTGTTTGAAAACAAACAAAACGCTTCGTACTTCATGAGAATTAAAAATAATATTTATAATTTTTTAATTTTCATTACCTTTAAGTAGTTGCACAGAGGAGTTGCCACTTAACAAAGCAGTTCATGAATACATCTTGATCAGTGCCACCCCTTTCAGCATTCTCCTGTTCCCCTGCACCTTACCCTTTCCTTCTATTTTCTTAATTTTGTAGGATCTGCTTTGAATTTTATGACTGCATTCTCCCCTTGCCCTTCTTTCTTCATCTTCCCTTTTACCTGGACCCCAAGCCACTTTGGAGAACCCCTTTCCTGGTGTTTATTTTGTTGGACCATGAGGAATTAATACCATTTGAGTTCTCCTCTGAATCTACCATAAGAAATTATATTTAGAAGCTTACAGACTATATTTCTGTATTTGCCTAACTGTGGTTTTCAATCATGATTGTTCAGTAAACTCACCTCTGGAGCTATTAGAAAGCAATTGTAAATATCTTTAGAAAATAATACAAGAGGGGGCTGGGAAGGTGGCTCAGTGGTAGAGCGCTTGCCTTGCATGCCAGAGGCCCTGGGTTCGATTCCTCAGCACCACATAAGCAAAAAGAAAAAAGCTGGAAGTGGCGCTGTGGCTCAAGTGGTAGAGCGCTAGCCTTGAGCTGAAGAGCTGAGGGACAGCGCCCAGGCCCAGAGTTCAGGCCCCACGACTGGACCCCCCCCCAAAAAAAAAGAAAAAAAGAAAAGAAAAAGGAAAGAAGATAATACAAGAGGTATCTCTCTATCTCCCTATGAGAGCACCCATATTCTGCTAGAGTGTGCCCCTGCCCTTCTGTGTTGGTCTGCTTTCTATCTGTTTGTCTGCTTGCTTGCTTGTGTACTTACTCAATAAAACTCTGCCAAGTTTTCTTAAAAAAGAAAGGAAGAAAGGGAGGGAGGGAGGGAAGAAAAGGAAGGAAGGAAAGAAGGAAAGAAAGAAGAAAATAATACAAGGAAGTAGAGTTGTGGCTCAAGTGGTAGAGTACTGGCTGTACTTAGTGAGAGCTGAGTTCAATCTCAATACTAGGACCAAAAAAAGTTTATGGTGATATAATGAGACCTTTTCTCAAAAAAAGCCTCAAGTGTGGAAGAATGCCTGCATGAGTTTAACTTCTAGAACTGCCAACTGTCCCTTCTGAAAACAAAAATAAAACATGGTAGCCATTAACATGTACAAATTTTGTCAGTTGCTCACTCTTGTAATCCTAGCTGCTCAGTTCAACTGCTGTTGCAGTTCAGAGCTAGCCAAAGCAGACAAATTTCTGGGACTGTTATCACAACTTAATCAATAAAAAGGCAGAAGTAGAGCTGTGGCTCAAGTGGTAGATTACCAGCCTGAGCAAAAAAGCTAAGCAAGAAGGCAAGGCCCTGAGTTTAAGCTCCAGTACCGGCACCCAAAAAAAGACATACAGGTCTCATCCAAACTAATTTTTTAATAATCCTACATTGAATCTATGCATCTGTTTTCAAAACCTTCATAGCAAATTCTACTATATCAGATTCTTTAAATAGAATTGTGTTAAAAAAATGAAACACTGGAAATGTCTTTAATGGGTACCTTTTTTTTTTTTTTGTCGGTCATGGGGCTTGAACTCTGGGCCTGGGCGCTGTCCCTCAGCTCTTCAGCTCAAGGCGAGCGTCTACCACTTGAGCTACAGCGCCACTTCCGGTTTTCTGGTGGTTTATTGGAGATAGGAGTCTCACAGTCTCTCCTGCCCAGGCTGGCTTTGAACCGCGATCCTCAGATCTCAGCCTCCTGAGTAGCTAGGATTACAGGCGTGAGCCACCAGCACCCGGCTTAAAACTTTTTTTTTTTCTTTTTGCCTATGTGGTGCTGAGGAATAGAACCCAGGGCCTCAGGCATACAAGGCAAGCGCTCTACCACTGAACCACCTTCCCAGCCCCTGGGTACCTTTTTAAAAAATCTTTATAATAAAGATATTTAACCTCTATACAGGGTAATTTTTTAGTATAAATATGATGGAAGAGACCTTGGCTCTAACTATGAACCCATGAGATCTAGGGAATGTAGCTTTGTAGCAGAGCACTTGCCTAACAATGCAAGAGGCACTGGGTTCAATCCTGCAATGGAGAAAGAGGAAGAGGCACCCAAGTACAAGAAGGAAGAAGAGAAAGGGAGAAACATAGATACTATATTCATGAGAATGGTTTAATTTTGGTCCCAAATTAGTAATCAATCTTAGAGCTAGCTTCTCACTTTTAGATCTAACTTCTCACTCATCTCTTAGATGAAAACTTTCTCAAATTATCTTAGTATTTAATTACTAGTACATTTTCATTGTTAAGTAAAATTTGTAGATCTTGGATTTGGGTTTTTGACCCAGACCACCAAACCAAAATAGAGTTTAATGACATATACTAAACTTCAGCATTTTACAGACATCCAACTAAGCTGTAACCCTAATTAAATCAATTAATTGGTTGATTGATTAAGCTGTAGCCAGTTGAGTTGTTTCATGTGCTTTACTTCTATTTTCTTATACTTGCTCCTCTTATACTTGTTCTTAGAGCCAGTTCTGAGAGCTATGCAGTTTGTGAAACATTTTGCTTTGATCAGATAAACTTTACTTGGTATGTTAGACTTAAGGAATTTTCCCTTTTGACAGCATATACAAAGACTGTTCAAAATTTGTTGTGTTATAATGAATGGGTTCAGTTTTAAGTCCTTAATTTTTGTTTATCAGAGCATCATTCGTTGTGATGAAGATGAAGCCCATGTTGCATCTGTATATTGCACTGTGTGTGCAACTCACTTGTGCTCAGAGTGTTCTCAAGTTACCCATTCCACAAAGACATTAGCAAAGCACAGGCGCGTGCCTTTAGCTGATAAACCTCATGAGAAAACCATGTGCTGTCAGCACCAGGTACATGCCATCGAGTTTGTTTGCCTGGAAGAAGGTTGTCAAACTAGCCCACTTATGTGCTGTGTCTGCAAAGAATATGGAAAACACCAAGGTCACAAGGTAGGAATTTAATTAAGTTGGAAAGCTGTTTACCATCTGAACACTTATTTTTAATGACCTGGTTCTTTATGCTGGGTCGAAGAGTTAAGTGATAATAAATAAATGAGAAATTTAACTTCTGAGTTGATAAAAATGTTAGAGAGGTCTTATTTCTTTTGAGCAGGGAATAAAAATTCTCTTGTTGCTGGGCACTGGTGGCTCACGCCTGTAATCCTAGCTATTCAGGAGGCTGAGATCTGGGGATCACAGTGCGAAGCCAGCTTGGGCAGGAAAGTCTGTGAGACTCTCATCTCCATTTAACCACCAGAAAACCAGAAGTAGAGCTCAAAGTGGTAGAGCTGTAGCATTGAGACAGTGCCCAGACTCTGATTTCAAGCCCTATGATGGACAAAAAAATTCTCCATGTGCATGTTTTCATAACACAGTCTATTTTATCTGATGATGAACTATTACTTGTGATATAACTTCAGAGATAATTTCTTGGTTTCTTGTTTAGTCATAAATGGATTTCTAAATTTTTAAGTATTTACAATCTTTTTTAAAGGAATTACAATTCAAATTTTTAAACTTATGTTGTATTTTTAAAAATATGTTATAAAAACCAACTATAATGATATTCTTTTGTATTGGGGAGATTTAAGCAGTTTTTGTATCATTCATCAATACTATGAATTGTTTTTTATAATTATGTTGTATTTTACAGCATTCAGTATTGGAACCAGAAGCTAACCAGATCCGAGCATCAATTTTAGATATGGCCCATTGTATACGGACCTTCACTGAGGAAATCTCAGATTATTCCAGAAAATTAGTTGGAATTGTTCAGCACATTGAAGGAGGAGAACAAATAGTGGAAGATGGAATCGGAATGTCTCACACAGAACATGTATGAATTTTTTATTCCTCCTTTATTTTCCCCTTTTTCATTCTCACTTTTTCACCTTCTAGTAAGTATTACACAAGTACAATGCCAGTACTGTACTAGTTATCAGTAATGTTTAAAAAGTTTTCATTTCAGCTCGGTGCTGGTGGCTTACACTTCGTAACCACTTCCTAACTACTCAGGAGGCTGAGATCTGAGGATTGCAGTTCAAAGTGAGGCCAGGCAGGAAAGTCAGTGAGACTCATCTCCAGTTAACCACCAGAAAAGCAAATGTGGAACATTTAATTATTAATACTGATTGAAGCAGTAACTTGGTGGCATTAAAATAATTAGTTGAAATATAGTAATACTTGGTCAAGTTGTAAGAAGAGATGGTGAGACATGACAGATTTTGGCTATATTTTGAAACCAGTAAAATTTGCTCAGGGACTAGTTGTAGAATATGAAGAGAAATATATGGATGATATATACATTTATTGTGTATGTGTGTGTTTTGTTTTTATATTTTTACTTCTGCAACACAGATGGAGTTTTCATTTATTGAAATGGAGGTAACTTTGATTGGAGGTGAGGGAGAATGTGATTAGATAGTCCATTTTGCTTGAGATATAATTTATAAATAGTTGGATAATCAAGATTTATAGTTGAAGAGGAATATCTAATGTGAAAATAAATATTTTGAATTGTTAAAGGCATAGATGTATTCAAATTTTTAATATTTTTATATAACATGTTCATTACAGTTATAATTAATTAAAAACTTTTATTTTCTTAGGTACCAGGTACTGCAGAAAATGCCCGATCGTGTGTCCGTGCTTATTTTTCTGATCTACATGAAACTCTCTGTCGTCAGGAAGAAATGGCTCTAAGTGTTGTTGATGCTCATGTTCGAGAAAAATTGATTTGGCTTAGGCAGCAACAAGAAGATATGACTATTTTGTTGTCCCAGGTTTCAACAGCATGTCTGCATTGTGAAAAGACTTTACAACAGGTAGGTAGTTTAAATGCGGTTAGGAGGCCTGGGAATGTGGCTTAGTGGTAGAGTGCTTACCTAGCATGCATGAAGCCCTGGATTTGTTTCCTCAGTACCACGTACACAGAAAAAAACAGAAATGGTGCTGTGGCTCAAGTGGTAGAGTGCTAGTCTTGAGCAAAAAATGCTCAGGGACAGTGCCCAGGCCCTGAGTTCAAGCCCTATGACCAACCCCTCCCCCCCAAAAAAATGTGGTTAGGGCTACGATTGTTAGACTTAAGTAGCTAAGTATCAGGGATACACACTATTTTTTTAGATATGCACACTATTAATTTTAGTGAATATTTGGGTTTTGCTACATGTTTTAACATTATACTTAGGACATGTGTTTCTAACTTCAAAATGTTCCATCAACTGTATCAGTATCTTATTTGTCCTCCCTATCATAAAAGCTCTGGATTCTGTGAACTCTCTTAACGTGTCATTCCTTCAGTCACGACTAGACTTCTTGATCTCCTTTGCCAAGCATATTCTTTTTTCTGTAAAGAATGCTTTTATCTCTGTCTCTGCTTGTAGAAATTTTACTCTTTTTTTTGTGCCAGTCCTAGGGCTTCAACTCAGGGCCTAGGCACTGTCCTTAAGCATTTTGCTCAAGGCTAGCACTGTACCACTTGAGCCACAGCTCCACTTTTGACTTTTTGGTAGGTAACTAGAGATGAGATTCTCATTTGTACTGCAATCTTTAGATCTTCACCTCCTAATTAGCTAGGAGTGTAAGCCACTAGCCACCACAAAATTTTCCTTATTCTTTAAGGTCTTGCTCAAACGTTTGGTCTTTGAAGTTTTTTCTTTGTTGGTCTTGTTTTGTTTGTACTACCTTTCTCTGTTCTAATTCAGTGGTTCTGACTGCACTGTCACAGAAAACTTTATAATGGTTATAGAATCACAAGCAGTGTGTTGCCCTATTTGCACATTTACTTTTGTTGTTGTTGTTGTTGTTGTTGGTGGTGGTGGTGGTCATGGTCATGGGTCTTGAACTTTGGGCCTGGGCACTGTCCCTGAGCTCTTCAGCTCAAGGCTGGCAGTCTACCACTTGAGCCATAGTGCCACTTCTGGTTTTCTGGTGGCTAATTGGAGATAAGAGTTTTAAAGACTTTCCTGCAGGGCTGGCTTTGAACTACAAACCTCAGATCTCAGCTTCCTGAGTATCTAGGATTACAAGCGTGAGCCACTGGCACCCAGCCACATTTACTTTTTAAATGAGATTCGAGGTCCTTATTAACAAAGATGTCTATATTTTGTTGTTGTTGTTTTCTTTTGCATTGTCTTTCAGAAGTAGGAGATATAAAAATATTTATATCTCGGGCTGGGAAGGTGGCTCAGTGGTAGAGCGCTTGCCTTGCATGCTCGAGGCCCTGGGTTCGATTCCTCAGCACCACGTAAGCAAAAAGAAAAAAAAAGCCGGAAGTGGCGCTGTGGCTCAAGTGGTAGAGCGCTAGCCTTGAGCTGAAGAGCTGAGGGACAGCGCCCAGGCCCAGAGTTCAGGCCCCACGACCGGACCCAAAAAAAGAAAAAAGAAAAATAGAAGGTGAAGAACTATTTAGTGAAAACTATAAAAACTTAAAGAAAGAAATTATAGAGGACACCAGGAAATGGAAAGACCTTCCATGTTCTTGGATAGGCAGACTTAATATAGTGAAAATGGCCATACTGCCAAAATTGATATACAAATTCAACACAATTCCAAAAATTCATATGGAACAACAAAAAACCTAGAATAGCCAAAACAATTCTAGGCAAAAAAAAAGACAACATGTGAGGGATCTTGATGTCGGACTTCAAACTCTACTATAGAGCCATAATAACAAAGACAGCTAGGTACTGGCACAAAAACAGACTCAAAGACCAATGGAATAGAATAGAAGATCCAGAAATAAAACCACATGCCTACAGTCAGCTGATATTTGGCAAAGGAGCCAAAGACATACAATGGAAGAAGCACAGCCTCTTCAACTACTGGTGCTGGGAAAACTGGGCAGAAAACTAAAAGTGGACCCCATGCACTAACATCAACTCAAAATGGATTAAAGACCTTAACATCAACCCTGAAACTCTGAAATTATTTCAGGATAGTATATGAGAGACACTTGAACTTATAGGCACAGGCAAGAATTTCCTGAACAGAGTTCCAGGGTCACAACAAATTGGAGAGACACTCGACAAATGGGACTACCTTAAAATAAAATAGTTTCTGTACAGCTAAAGCTATAGCAACCAAACTAGAAAGATAGGCAACTAACTGGGAAAAAATATTTGCCAGCAATATATCAGACAAGGGGTTAATATCCAGAATATACAGTGAACTCAAGAAATGAACCCCTCCCAAACCCAACAAACCAATTACTAAATGGGCAAGGGAGCTAAAGAGAGACTTCTTAGAAGAAGAGATAAAAAATGGCAAAGAAATACATGAGGAAATGAAATGTTCACCATCCCTGGTTGTAAAGGAAATGCAAATAAAGACAATCCTGAGATACCACCTTACCCCAGTTAGAATGACCCACATCCTAAAGTCTGCCAATGACAAATGCTGGAGGGGATGCGGAGAAAGAGGAACCCTATTACACTGCTGGTAGGAATGTACACTTATACAACCACTTTGGAAAGAGGGAACAGCTGACACTAAACAAAAGGAAAGAAATGGACATATCACCCGATGTGGAAGAAATAACTATTGTCAAAGCTCATAGAACTCATAAACTTTATAGACCATGATAAAGACAATTTGCCCCATGAAGGTTAGAATGTGTTTGTGACTTTAAGTATCACTATCCCACAATACTGTGAAATTTATATAATCACTTAATCACAATAAAAAATTGCAAAAAAAAGAAAAATAGAAGGTGAATTTGAAAGAGAGAAGGAATTAATTAGGAAGCTATTATAGAATTCCAGCTGAGGCATATTGTAGTGGCTTAAATATTGGGTGTTAGAAGTACCCAGGTTATGGCGAGGCATGTGGATGCATGCCTGTAATCCCAGATACTTGGTAGGTAGATTTAGGAGGACTACAGTTCAATGACAACTCAGAAAAGTTAGTGGGACCCAATCTTAAAAGCAATCTGATGTGGATGAACACACTACTTTCTCACCTACCTAACGGCAGAGATAGGGGAGGATCAAGAAAGAGGAGGATTGTGATCTGTGGTCAGTCTGCAAAATCACAGAACATTCTTTGAAAAACAAACTAAAAAAAACACAAAACACAAAAATCTATCAAAAGAATTGGGGCCATGGCTTATGTGGTAAAATGCTTGTCTAGCAAAGCAAGGTCCTAGTACTACAAAAATAAATAAGAATTTTTAAATGCTCAGATGATGAATATTCACTAGGATTTGTTGAAAGGAGAGATGATGGAGAGAGAGAGAGAAAGAGAGAGAGCAACAATTACTTCAAGGGTTTTATTTTGAGCAACTGAACAATAGAATTGCTATTAACCAAATGGAGTATTTATCAATAACTAAAATAGATAATATCACTGTTTTCATTGAACTTACATATCTAGAGATCTTTTTCACATGAAGACTGTATTAGTATGTACTGATATATATAGAGAGAATGTACATAAGGGGCTGGGAAGGTGGTTCAGTGGTAGAGCGTTTGCCTTGCATGCCTGAGGCCCTGGGTTTGATTCCTCAGCACCACATGAGCAAAAAGAAAAAAGCTGGAAGTGGCGCTGTGGGGCTCAAGTGGTAGAGCGCTAGCCTTGAGCTGAAGAGCTGAGGGACAGTGCCCACGCCCAGAGTTCAGGCCCCAGGACTAGACCCAAAAAATAAAATAGAATGTACATAAGTACACATTTCCAGTGTATACATATGTATGCTTTATTTTTAATGGAAATGCTTTATTTTAAAGAGAGGGTCTAGAGATCTAGAATGAGGAAATTTCAGTTTAAATTTTAGTATTTTTAAACCAATGTATGTACATTTTAAAGTATATTTTAAACATTTTGTAGAGTGAAATAGAGACACAGAAATATGTAATAGATGTTCAGCTGCCTGAAATTTCAGGCTGATCATTAGTGTCTAATCAGGCACCCAGCTCAAGTAATAAAAGTGTCATTATCTTCTTCCTTGTGTTCTTTACCTGCCTTCTCCCACAGGATAAATCACTTTCTTGACCCGCATGTTTCATTTGGCCATTTTAGTAATTAATATTACATTTGATCTTAATCAAAAGGCTGAGAAGCAATTGCCTTGATAATTAAAATAAATAGAATTATACAGAATAAGCTCTTCTTTTACTTAACATTGTGAGTTCACATAATCATGTTGTTGGTTATGTTTTGTTCTCATTCTGAAGTGTAGTGTTCCATTTGTGAATATACCATAATTTATAATCCATTCATTTGTTGGAAGGAACTTAAATTATTTATTGCTACCTAGTTATTATTATCTAGTCAAATTTATATTGAAATCAACTTTGAATACTGTAACATTCAACTGACTTTTATTTCAAATTAGTATGGTATATCTTCTTATGGAAAAAATTAATAAGATTTATTTCTCTTTTCTAGGATGATTGTAGAGTTGTTTTGGCAAAACAGGAAATTACAAGATTATTGGAAACCTTGCAGAAACAGCAACAACAGTTTACAGAGGTTGCAGATCATATTCAATTGGATGCTAGCATTCCTGTCACTTTTACAAAGGTAAGGTAGCTTACTTTAATTATTGGTCTCTTTTTCTTTTTTTCTTTTAATTTGTAATGTTGGGAGTGAACCTAAGGCTTAGAACATCCTGGACAACCACTTTACTACTGAGGTATAGCCCAACCCCTTTAGATATGTTTTTTGATCAGTCATAATTAATGTACATTAAATAATTATCTTGAGACAATCAGATAATTCATGAATTATATATTCATGAATTATTTTGAAGAAAAGCTTTTATTAGTGGAAAATAGGAACAAGTGACATAATGAATCTTCTTGTTCAAATCAATTAGTTTTAAGCTCTATAAACATCTTTTTTCTTCTTCTTATCTATAGTTTCCTAGAATATTCTAAAACAAATCCTAAAGTTATTTCATCCTAACATTGTGTCATTTCATGTATGAGATATTTTAATTACATCTCCAAAAATTAGGGACTCTGAAAAAAATTAATCACTCATACCCCCAAATTTGAAATTACTCTCTAATATTTTCACTAATATTATCAACTAAACCATATTCCAATTTCTCTGATTCCTTCAAACCTTTTTTGTGTGTGTATGCCAATACTGGGGCTTGAATTCAGGGCCTGGATGCTGTCCCTTAGCTCTTTTGCTCCCTTCAAGGCTGGCACTTTACCACATAACCATAACTTCATGCCAAGCTTTTTGCTGGCTAATTGGAGATAAATGTCTCACAGACTTTCTTGCACAGGCTGGTTTAGAACCATGATCCTCAGATCTCAGCCTTCTGAATCGTATTATAGAACAGTGCCCATACTTGATTGGTATATTTATTTCTTTTTATACTAGGTTCCCTGGATTTAGAAAGGATCATGAGCTTCATCTTGCTTATTTTGCTTTTGGGTTTTAGAGACAATTTAGGGTTTTTTTTCTAATTGTATGAAACATTTACAGAGTTTAGAGTCCAATCTGAAAAGTAAGGTTTTTTCAGAGAAATCTAGCTTCTATTGTATCTTCCTCTACCTCCTTTTTTATAGTGTTCAACATAGAAAACAATGCATAATTTTTAAGTTTTTCTTATCACTAAAATATAAATGTGGTTCTATATTTTATGCCTTCTTGCTACATTTCAAGGTAAAATGCATGCTTTTTAAACTATTGCTATTTGAGGAGGTTAAGTAGGGAAAAATAGAAAGAGAAACATTTCTTGCTCCCCATGCATGAAATGAGAATTAAAGACCCAAAATAGTGACTCCTTTGTGTAGCTTTTAAACTTTCTGAGCTGAGCAAATACATATGGTCTTGTCAGTCTAGCAACATCTACTAAATGGTGAGTAAGATGGATGAGGCTCATGAAGGTAACCTTCAGGACTTCCTTTGGATAATGACTTTTGTCCTCTCAGCCCCTACCTGGATTTTTATCTTTTCCAAGGATGAGTCATTTATATATTTCCTCCTTAACTTTAGAAGAGAGGCTAGAGTTAGATAGCCCCTTCTATGTCTCCTAATCTGGTGGTTTTAGATTAAAATGAGGAGCCAGAGCGGCTCACACTTGTTGTTCTAGCTATTCTGGATGCTGAGATCTGAGACTATAATTTTCAATTAACCACATAAAAGTCTGAAATGGAGGTGTGGCTTAAATGGTTGAGTATCATCCTTGAGCACAAAAACTAAGGGACAGCACTCTCACCAATACACAATAGGCGCGCACACACACACACACACACACACACACACACACAAGATTAGAAGGAGTTAACTTCTGAATCTACTTTCTTGATACTGATTAAAAATAATATGTGATTTCCCTGACTCTTCATCTATTTTGTATCATTTTCCCTTAAATGATTTTGTTCCCTTTTAATCCTAAAAAGGGGTATAAAGGGTCAATTACCTGTTCTATAGCTGCTTTATGATAAGAGTGAATTTTGACCCTACCTGGAAAAAGGGAACCAAAACGATATTTTCCTCTCCAATATAGAAGGTGACATGGGAAGTTCAGTTGTTAGAAAATTCTGTTGACAGGTTGCCACAATGATGACCATAAAACATCATTTTCTATTTCTAAAATTAAAGATCTAAACTGTAGATGACAAAAACAAAATTGACATAGTTGAAATTTTGATAAAGTTTAGCAGTTTATAAAAAGTCTTCCTATTTTCACTACATAGAGCATTTAGGATAATAATTACAATTGACAGCATTCTATGAGCACCATCAAGCTCTCCTTGTTCTGTACTGTGGAACAAGTCTTTGGCAAGGTAAAATAAAGAATAGGTATATACATAGCACTGATAAAAGTCTTAACTTTATGTTTCATTCAAGCTTAGGGGATAGAAGATGTACTTTTTTTCTCTTGTTTCTTTTTCAGCTAAGTATATATCCTAAAGATCATTCCATAGTAGTTTATAGGACATTTTTACTTCATTTTTACAGCTACAAGTTTCTTTATTTTGATTCATTGTTTTGTGTAAAAAACCACATAATATCAAATTATCATCTTACCTGTTTTTAAAAGTATAATAAATATGATTAAGTATATTCATATTGTTTTGAAATAAATCTTGAAAACATTTAATCATTTATTTACTTATGTATTTATTTATTTTGCCTGTCCTTGGGCTTGAATTTGGGGCCTGGGCACTGTCCCTGAACTTCTTTTGTTCAAGGCTAACTTAAGCCACAGTGCCATTTCCAGCTTTATCTGTTTCTGTGGTACTGAGGAATCAAACCCCAGGCCTCATGCATGCTAGGCAAGGACGCTACCATTAAGCCACTTTCCTAGCCTCTTTTCATCTCATAAATCTGAAATTGTACCCTTTAAACATCAACTTCATTTTATCCCTACTCTTGGCCCCTGGTTAACCGCCATTCACCTGTTGCTATAAATTTGATTAACTCTTTTAAGATTACCGTATCTGTCCTGTCCCAGCATGTGAATGCTAGGATTATAGGCAAGTACCACAATGTCAGCATTCTTTGTAAGGTGAAAAAATAAGAAAATGATCTAAAATCTAACAGTTGTGCATTGGCTACATTATGATTCATTGAATGTAATGAAGCCATTAAAAAAAGCTTTGATTTTTATGTATTGAAATTAAAATTCAGTCATACAATGTTGAGTGGAAAATGTTAGTATTATTTGTTTTAAAAGGCATAATCAGCCAGGTGTGGTGGTACATGCCTACGAATCGAGAGGTAAAGTTTAAGAAAATAGTGGTTCAAGGCCAGCCCAGGGAAAATTATCATAAGCCTTATCTGAAAAACAGACAAACAGAAACAATAGTAGTAGAGTGTTTGGCTAGGCAAGCTTGAGGCCCCGAATTCAATCCCTGGTACCATAAAAAGAAAAAAAAAGAAGCATATTTGTTTGGTTTCTGTATGTTAGTGAGTTCCTAGGGAGGTATGTGAAGGGATATGCATCCCAAGTCAGAACAGTAGCTATTTCTGGGGATTGAGGAGTAGTTTGTATCTTTAACTATTTTAATTTTTGAGTACAGTCATATTTTAATTTTTGAGTACAGTTTAAAAAAACACATTGAAAGAAGATTTGCTTGAACTAGGATCTGGAAAAAGTAAATAGGTATATGTGTTTTTCAAAATTCATGCCATAGCTGAGTGGTTAGTTTTACTAAGGCATTTGTAGTTTTGTTAATGAATTAATCTCCTTGAGAAGATCAAATTTAAGGGATTTTGAGGATGAAAGGGAGACATTGAAGATAAACTAAGGTGCTTTATAAATGTGTGAGTAATGTCACATTTTAACTTCATATCAAAATTATAAAAGAGTTTAAAATTTTCTAAATTATAGGACAATAGAGTTCACATTGGACCCAAAATGGAAATTCGAGTTGTTACATTAGGTTTAGATGGTGCTGGAAAAACTACTATTTTGTTTAAGTTAAAACAGGATGAGTTCATGCAGCCCATTCCAACAATTGGTAAGTATGAATACAGCTTTTTTACCTTCTTGGACATTGTGTAGATAAACTCTACCTTACAGCTGTATGCTCTGGGTCTTCCTTGATATGGTTGTGCAGGTGGCTTTTTTTGTGGCTGTAAGATACCAGCATTAGAGAGAAAAAAGATTTCTGTGACTATGGGATTGAAATGTAGTTAGTGGGATAGTAAGAAAGAATTGACGGGGCAGTTAGAAGAAACAAATGATTGACTCAGAGTTAGGAATGAGAAGATAGTAATGCTACAGACCCACAGAATTCCAAGGTCTTGTGAATTCCAAGATCCTAAGGACCGTGGTGGAAGTATAGAGGGCAGTAGGGATAAAGTTGGTTGGGTTTCAGTAGCTACTGATGAATACAGAAAATTCCTGAATCACAATTATAAACTGGGTTGTCTGTGTTTGATGTGTCATTCATTGGAAACATAAATAGAGTATAAAAGTAATTTATTTTTGCTAAACAGGTTTCAATGTGGAAACTGTAGAATATAAAAATCTAAAATTCACTATTTGGGATGTTGGTGGAAAACACAAATTAAGACCATTGTGGAAACATTATTACCTTAATACCCAAGGTAAGAGTCAAGAATAATATCATTATTTTAAAGGTTTCTGGATGTTAGTTTTCAGCAAACTAATTTGACTAGCAAAACTGATGTTTGGATAGTAAATACTTGAATACATATCAGAGGATAGCCCCTTATTTTTTTAAAGAAATGATGGTGGTTATGCATTTTTGGTGTATTCATGACAAGCCATTATTATTAGAATGAAAACAATACTTACCTTAGATGTATAGGCAGTTAAGAGCACTTATCTCTTGATTGCTCTTAACATGTAAAGTATATTAGTATCCATAAGGGTGTGATTAATGGCAATGCGGTGGTGGCATAGAATCAAATATTTGGTAAATATTTGGTATGTGGTCCTGCTATATTCTAGCTATCTACTTCTCCATTCTATACTTTTGCCTCTTATACCCCAACATGAAGCTTGTGTGTGTGTGTGTGTGTGTGAGAGAGAGAGAGAGAGAGAGATAGGTGCTTAAACCTAGGGCCTGGATGCTGTTCCTTAGCTTTTTTGCTCAAGATTGGCATTCTACCACTTGAGCCTCAGCTCTACTTCGGACTTTCTAGTGGTTAACTTTTAGATAAGAGTCTCAAACTTTTCTAACTATGATCTTCATATATTGGTCTCCTGAGAAACTAGGATTATAGACATAAACCACTGTTTCCTGGTTGAACGTTCTATTTAAACACCTATTCCATATATCATCCTATTTCAACCTAAATGTGCATCTAGCTATTTATTTTTACTTTCAAATTTTTGAATTATTCTTAGTTTTAGTTGTAATTGATAGGAAAAAATAAAATTTTGAATTTGAAGGAATATTCAAAACCTAGAGATATTTTGCCTGGGGGAATATTAATTTGGAGAGAAAAAGATGGTGATAGTGTTTTTAAAAGACTTTCATAAAGGAAATAGTATTCAAAGAGTAAGGGGCATGTCAGTGGAAGATCTTAAGATATACATGTTCACAATATTTGAAAGAAAGTATTGATGGACAACACATTTGTGCTGGAAGGAGCAAAATGTCATCAAATCCGTTATAGATGGGGAAACAAAGCCTGTGAAATACTTAGATGTACTCAAGATTATATATTGATTATTTTAGGTGCTCTGACCATTAAAAAGGCAGCCTTTATATGAAAATAGAAGTAGTAAAAAAAATCTGGTTAGGATACAATAATTATAGCATTAAATATTTGAAACTTAACAAGTAACTACTTGATTTTTTTTTATTTTGGTAGCTGTTGTATTTGTTGTTGACAGCAGTCATAGAGACAGAATTAGTGAATCACACAGTGAACTTGCAAAGTTGTTAACGGAAAAAGAACTACGGGATGCTTTGCTCCTGATTTTTGCTAACAAACAGGTAATAAGTTTTTATAAGAGAATACTTATTTTTGTAGCTTGGATATTTCATAAGGCAGCTGGATATACTTCATAGGAATTGATTCAGTAGATATTTACAAACTTTCTGCTAGTTTATTATGAATACAGTCTACATGGAAAGTGCTTTGTTGGGTAGTCTAGTATGCAAAAAAGAAATGACAGTTTATGTTCACTTGTATAATTATATGAATAAATGTATGATTCTAAGAGAAAATTAGAAAATAATTTGAATAATACTGTAATAGGGACTTAAGACAGAAAAGTTCTGAAAGTAATTATCTTCCAGGCTTTAAAAAAGTAGGATTTCAAGAGGTAGAGGAAGAATCAGGCACCAGTGGCTTATGCTTGTAATCCTAGCTTCTCAGGGCGCTGAGATCTGAGAATGACATTTCAAAGCCAGCTAAGTCCAGAGATTCTTAACTCCAATTAGTCATAGAAAAAAAAACAGAAATGGAGCTGTGGCTCAAGTGGTAGAGCATTAGCCTTAAGCAAAAAGAAGCTGAAAGGCCCAGTATTCAAGGACTGACAAAAAAAAAAAAAGGTAAAGACAGGAGTACCTTAGTTGAAAATTAGTTGAAGGCCACCTTGAGCTATGTAACCAAGGTTAATGATGTGACTATAAGGTAGAGAACTTGCCTACCATGCACAAAATCCTGGGTTCAATTTCCAGAATTAAACAAAAATAGCATTGAGTTGAAGTTATGGGATGCTTTTCAGTCTATATGTGAATGAAGAGCAATATAGGCAGAAAAAATAATGGCTTGAGTGGTTTTGGGGAGCATCAAATAGCTGTATGTATGAGGTACAGGTAAAAGATAAAAGAAAAAATACCCCAATACTAGATAAGGTCATCTTATGAAAGCCTAACAAATTTAGACCTGAGAAGTTTATAGACTTCTCAGCCTATTACATGAACAGACTGTACATTTTAGGTTTTATGAGCAAAGAGAATAATCAAAATGTTTTTGGAAAGAGGGTGATAAGAATATGCCAGTGCCGGGCTCTGATGGCTCATACTTGTAATCCTAGCTACTCAAGAGGCTGATATCTGAAGATCACAGTTCATAGCCAGCCTGGGCAGGAATGTCCATGAGATTCTTATCTCCAATTAACCACCAGAAAACCAGAAGTGGTACTGTAGCTCAAGTGGTAGAGCACTTGTCTTGAGCTGAAATGCTCAGGGCCCAGGCCCAAAGTTCAAGCCCCATGACCAACAAGAAAAAGAACATGCCAATTATTTAAACTGTAATTCTAGGGTATCAAACACAGAATTAATAAGAAAAAGGGAATCATGGCAAGGAGATTCAGTAAACTGCTGAAATAATTCAAATGATCGTCAACAAGACCCGGATTTAGAGGAATAGAAAGATGGAGGCAGATAAGAGAGACTTTATGGAGGCAAATTTGCTAGTGCTAGTATTTGGTTTCTGAATAGGGAGGATGAAGGATTAGGAGTAGATGAGGAGTCCTGCATCTTGAGTCCAAGCTTCTAGGAGGATAAGAATATTTTTAAGAGAAGCACAGATAGGAGAGAGGTGAAGTTAAATGGCATAGCTGTCAGAGAAGGAAAAGTAGGATGAATAGAATTTTCCTCTTTCTAAAAAATGAAAGGCAATCTAAAACTGCCACATTTAGAACATGCAAAGATGGAGCCACATTGTTAAAGATGAAATTGGTTTAAAATCCCAAGACCTCATATACATGGGTCGGTTATTAAATTGAATAGCTTTTGTATAGGGCAATTTGGTGGTACCTGTCAAAGTTTTAAACAGCTTTTACCCTGAAGTTCCATGGTAATCTATCTTGTTGTCCTATAATTGATTTTGTAAATGTATGTAAACTTATCTATGCATGTATATGAATGAATTCACAGTTGCCTTTTAGTATGAGTATCCCTCAGATACCACCATGTTCAGCTACTCAGTTCTTTTTTAAAAATATGTTGCAAGATTTGAATATAATCTATGCACATCCTGAATCCTTTTACAGATGACTATCTGTAGATTACTTGCACATATTTGGTATATAAAAGCATGGCTTCGGTATTTGGTAAATGATTAGGTAAATCACATTGCATCGATGCAGTAGAAGGCAATTCGATAGTCAAAATGATATAGGAAACCTGTACATGCTGAGAAAAGAAAGATGTCTACTCCAATTCAACATGGTCATTAAAACAAAAAACCTTTCTAAACAAACTCTGAAAGATGTAGAAAGCATCATGTATATTTCTTTTTTTTCTTTGCATGAATTTATGTGGGAATTTCCTGGAAAATTATATAGGAAATTGTTATAGATTGTTACTCCTGAAAAGTACAATTAAGGAATGTTTGGAGTGGGAATGTAATGAATTCTTCATTATATAAATTTATATAAACCAGTTTTTATTGTATATGCATATTAAGTTTTCTTTTGCAAGTGAACCTTATGAAGTGAACTTTCAGTCATGCTGCATGGCCTTCATTGCTTTCATTGTAGATTACTTTTATAATATTTATATGACACAGGTTCATATAAATCATTTTAATCAAAACTTAATTTTTTTCTGTTCATTTCAGAATAATTATCAAAAGATGCATCAATAGATAATAATATCAATAGATAATAATAATTAGAAAAGTGGTCACCTGAATGAAAAATTTTATTGTGTGATTATCTTTCAGGATGTTGCTGGAGCTCTGTCAGTAGAAGAAATCACTGAACTTCTCAGTCTCCATAAACTCTGCTGTGGCCGTAGTTGGTATATTCAGGGCTGTGATGCTCGAAGTGGTATGGGGCTGTACGAAGGGTTGGACTGGCTCTCACGGCATCTTGTAGCTGCTGGAGTATTAGATGTTGCTTGATTTAAAATGCAGTTGTGGATAAGAGGTATTTTGCACACACTATGTTATCAGTAATTCTGCATTCCAAATATGATAGTTAATTTAGAATGTGTATGTAAAAAAAACAACCGTGGATGGGAAACTAAGTATGCTATTACTTTTTTAAAAGTCTGTGAAAAATTTAAATGTCTGAGCAAATTAGACTGGTTTAACTAGAGATTTTGTTCAGATATATCTTTTTAAAACTACATTTGGTATTTAAGTTTTCAGATTATAATGTGACACATGTATTGGGAGAGAAGAATTCACAGAGAAAGGGTAAATGAAGGTTTGTTTTTTCAGTGAAAAACAAAAAATGAGTATGTAATAGAATCTTTGTGGAGCAAGGGAAATATAGTTTCTTTAATGCCTTCTCACTGAATTTTGGCAGTACTTAGTAGTGGACATGGCTCAGTTGAATTGAAACTGCATTTTAGTTTACCTTTATGTTCAATATAACAGAACACCTTGATGGGTAAGAACCATAAAGCTATAAAAATTAGTATTTTCTCACTTATTGAAACTTTCTCCTAAAGTATTTGTATAAGACAGAAATATTACCTAAGTACACCGGGTTGTTAGATTAATACTAAACTGAATAATAAAGCTGTGAAAGTCATTTTCATATTAACTTATGAAAGACCCATTTCCTGGCCTGAATCTAGCTAGGTCAGCAGTCTATATGCTCCTTCTGCGTGTTTCACCATATTTACTTTTCTTGCTAAAATAATAATGCATTCTTTTTGGAAATGTCTATAGGAAAGTACAGAAAGCTACACAAAGAACCAGGCTCAGTTTACTTATATAAAAGACAAAAAAAAAAAGAGATCTAAATAGAAAACTACTTGTGTCTTAATCTGTTCAGTGAGGAATGCCTTTTACTTATTCTAAATATTTTCTAAAGTAAGTACAAGAACTTTACAATAAAACACAATTCAAGTTGTTTATGACAAGATTGCAGTTATTTAAGAGGAAACTCATGCCTAAAGGAGGAAAGGAAACATTCACAAAGCTTACCTGTTACAGTGTTGTGAATAAAAGTTTTAATAATTTTGTGCTCGTTACTGGTCCTCAGTTCTCATTTTTAAGGGATATTCTTATTATGGAAGCATGATTTAGTTAATTTTTTTAAATGCTCGTTTTGCTTTAGGATGGAGTCTTAAATCTTACTTGTTGAATTATTTTAAGTACAATGACAGGATCCTGTCCAATGACAGGATATTACTTTTAGGAGGTACTGTTTTGGTTCTTTTTTTTTTTCAGATGTACTTTTGTTTTTGTTTTTAAAAAAAAAAAACTATTAGAAAACAAGCATTTAAAAAGCCCATCAGTGTAATGGGTGAATGTAAGTAAAGAAATAATACTATTTTGTCCTTTATTTTTCAAGTAAAAAGTCATGCTATTGCAAGTAGTTTGTGTGTATAAGAAATACTTTGGGATTAAGTTATTTAACATTTGACTGATTTTGAATAACTGTGAAAATAAAGGTGTTGCATTTGCCTGTGAGCCCTTGAACTGTTTTCTCTACTAGTTTACTGAAAAACTGAAGTGAAACACTAACATGTGAACTTTCTTTCCTTGTGAATTATCATTTCATTAATTTTTCTAAACTTTGTAATCTACATTCTTAGCATATAACCTGGCACTACTTAAAAATTGTGCATAGGCCTCAATTATGTATATATCATGTAGTATTTGTGACTTTTCTTAAAGAAATATTTTTGTCAGGCTCCTGTTCCTGTTTGTAGTTGTATTCCTTTATTAATCATTAGTTAAGATTGTGCTTGCTTCCACTGAAAAATGTTAAATTTAAGAATCACAGTTTTAAATATATAAAAATTTGCCCCATCTCTGAATTTCTGTATTGTTTGATTATTACTGTATGGATTATGTAGAACAGGTTTTGTTAAGTGGATAGCCCTGGTTATAATTCAGAAATGCTTTATAACCACCAAAGCCATTATTTATATTTCATATATGAACAGTATGGTCAGAAATAAAATGCTAAATTATAAATAAGTACTATCATTCTAAAAAGTCTGTTCTTGAACCATCTATCTAGTAATGTTGCTGGTAATTAATTTCAAAAGTCATTATTCTGGGATGGGGATTTAACACGGTGGTAACATCCACAAAGCCCTGTATTTGATCCCTAGCATTCCAAAGAAGAAAAAGGCATTATTTGTGCTATGGTTAAGTGAACCAATCAAACAAAATGGGTGAGAATTGAGGTGTAATTTGTTAGATGGAGCGAAATTATTTAGGAATAACTTATTTTGTATTTGCATTGTAGGTCAAATTTATAACTTTTTTAGGGGATGCTAATTTTTGCAATGAACCAAGTAAAATGTTTATTTTTCAAATTTCAAATTTAATCTTGTTTCAAATGAGAACATAACATTTTAAATGATCGCTAAAAATACTTTGAAAACAGTATAGTGAAAATGTAACCTATGCAAGGCCTTCAATTTGATCTTCAGCACCGCTGGTGGAAGAAAAGGAAAATAAACAAAAAAAAAGAAAGTTGAAAGTTTGTGATAGCTCTTAGCTAATACCGCTAAGAGACTTTTTATGTAACATTGGGATAGTTCTCAAGTTACAAAACTACAATAAGAGGAAAGAAGACTGATATACTATTCCCTAACAATAAAGAGGAATAAGGGTTAAGTATGAGATAATGTCTTCATACAATTCAAGTCATCCCTTATAATACATCTTAATTTCAATACTAGACCACTAGGAACTAATCTGACACCAATAGTTCACTTCTGTAATCCTAGCTACTCAGGAGGCTAAGATTTTCAGGATAACGATGCAAAAAAGGAGGGGGGTGCTACAAAGATAAAACCTCTTGTGTCCCTACCTTGGGGTTCATTTCACTTGGCATCAGGTTCTATGGACATATGTACATAGATTTTTGACCTCTTCTGCTTGTCCTAGACTTATACTAGTTATTGCAGATAATGTACTTATAATGTACTATGTGATTTTTTTTGTTTCTTTGTATGTTCTTCCCCCATGGTACAACCCCTGTTGTCACTGTATTTGATTCTGGTGTCCTGCATCTTGTATATACATTTTTCTAATTTGGGGAGGGGAAGGGAAATAACAAAATGCTGAAATAAGGATACAGGATGACCCATTATAACAATGAGATGTACAAGACAGTATGTTGAAAATGAACTTTACAACTTTAGGGGGGAGGGGAGGAAGGAGTTGGGGAGGTGGGGAGGAAAAGGATGGTAGGGGAAATATAACAGAGAGTGTAACAATGTTTGATAGGAAATGGACTCATTACCTTGCTCATGTAACTGTAACCCCTTTGTATAGTATCTTTACAATAAAAAATATATATAACAAAGGTG